GTAACTTTCAACAACTGTGCAATGTAGCTCTATATTATCACAGACTACACGGATTAAGGGTAGAGCAAAGACATCAACGGAGATGTCAAGCAAAACTCTACAGAAAGTGAAACATGCCAGAGACTGCTACAGCCATAAAATGCGAGCTACTCCACCAGCCTCCTCTCTTCCTCCCTCTCACTCATACACAAACATGAAAAGACATGTGCAATTTCATTTAGCAGCCGATCATAAACTCAGGAGCACATCCCCGGCAAATGTGCACAGAAGCAGGTCTCACACAAACATGTGCAGCAAACATACAGTGTCATGCCAAATTCAAAGATATTGAGGGACATGTATTCACATGAAACCATATGCACATTGGGAGTGTCAAGATAAATAAAGTAAGTAATTCTTCACACAGCAGGAAGTTAATCTAGGGCAGAGGTGTCAAACACAAGGCCCGCGGGCCAAATCCGGCCCACCAGACCTCGTCTGATGGCCCACGGAGGCGCCGTCAACCTTGCAGCCTCCCCCCCTTTTTTTCCAATGAATTTACTCCGTGCCTGCACAGAGTAAATTCATTGAAAAAATGGCTCAAGTTAACAAGGCTATGTCCTCCTTCCGATTGGCTGTGGCGCTGTCACTCCTTTCCTCTCCCTCCGCCCCCGCTCCCCCTCCCTCCCTCCCCCACACACACACACACACACACACACACAGAGAGAGAGAGAGAGAGACCCCGGCACTTTCCCTTCCTTCACACACACATACGCGTTCTCTTCCTTCCTGTAACTCTCTCTCTCTCTCTCTCTCTCTCTCTTTCTCTCTCACACACACACAGAACCCGGCACTTTCTCTTCCTTCACACACACACACACACACACACACACACACACACACACACACGCTCTCTTTCTCTCTGTATCTCTCTCACTCTCACTCACACACACACACACACAGAGACCCCGGCACTTTCTCTTCCTTCACACACACGTTCTCTTCCTGTATCTCTCTTTCTCTCTCTCTCTCACACACACACACACACACACACACACACACACACACACACAGAGGCACTTTCTCTTCCTTCACACACACACACTCACACACACACACACACACACACACACACACACACACACACAGAGGCACTTTCTCTTCCTTCACACACACACACTCACACACACACACACACACACACACACACACACACACACACAGAGGCACTTTCTCTTCCTTCACACACACACACTCACACACACACACACACACACACACACACACACACACACACAGAGGCACTTTCTCTTCCTTCACACACACACACTCACACACACACACACACACACACACACACACACACACACACAGAGGCACTTTCTCTTCCTTCACACACACACACTCACACACACACACACACACACACACACACACACACACACACAGAGGCACTTTCTCTTCCTTCACACACACACACTCACTCACACACACACACACACACACACACATACACACTTTCTCTTCCTTCCTTTTCCCACCAAGCCGGATGGGGTCCTTGCAAGGCCATCAGTACAGATACAACCAGCCCTTGATGGGAACCAAACTGCCCCAGATGAATTTGAGTTTGACACCCCTGATCTAGGGATTTTATTACCAGATAGTGTAGTGATGGCCACAAACTTGGATTGCTTTAAAAACCAAACCCATGGAAGATAATTCTACCGACCATGATGGCTTTGATATAATTTTCTGCAGCAACGGCAGTGTGCCTCAATGCCAACTGCTAGTGAACTGAACTAAGAGGATATTGCGTTCAAATCCTGCACTGGGACTCCTGTAGGCATCTGGTAACTGCTGTGGAAACAAAATGCTGGACTAAATAGACTTTGGTTCAATTCAGCATGACTCTTCTCATACTCTTGGGAGCATACCATAAGTAAATGAATAAGAACAATCTACCTACAAATACACAGCAACAGACAGTAGTACACAACATACAGAAAGCCCTGCAACACAGCACATGCAGAGACATATAGGAGCACAGTACAAATAAAACAGGTGTGACAATAAGCAGTAGGATTCACCCTCCAATACACAAACAACCAGCCACATCAAACAGTATAACTAATGCAAACGTAAGCAAACATTATGTCACACAGCACACACATAAGCATAGCAGCATGCAAATACAAAGAGATGATACCACATGTTGCAATGTACCACATACAGACACTTTATAGGAAAACAAAAAAGCATCTAAACACATGTGTTAGGAGGCAATTACATGCCAAACATATGAAAGCCGTTGCCCCCCCATCAACAAATACACACTTCTCCAGCCCGTTTGCACCAGCAATGGCCATTTTTGTTTTGGTAACCAGGTTTCCCCAGGGAAGCTTCAATCTGCCGAAAAGACATGTGTGGTAATATTTGCCTGTATTTCAATGGCTGATTTAAACAGCAAATTTGAAATCATGTCATACTGAGAATACACAGAGCAGAGTTTCACCAAGCAGCTAAAACTATACCCTTGGAATGACACTGAATTTCTGAAATAATGTGCGTAGACTGCCAAAAAAACCCAACAACCTTAAAATATGTTTTGTTTTATTGATTTAAGGAATGTGAATTCTGCCTTTTATTCAAATAGACCAGTATTAAAGAAATTTAACACATTATTTTTTCAAAGCTAAATTAAAACAAAAATACAATCCAAATTCTCCACAATGTCAAAACTCATTTAGATAGTAGAACAGACAGCCCAATAATTTCTAAAACAATTTATTTTCTACTAAATCTGTTAAAGAAAAGCCTGGAGAATTAAAAACATCATTTATCTAAGAGACACTAATGCAATCTGAGATAAACTTTCCTAGAGAGGGAATCCTAAACTCAGGCATAATGAAAATACGTTTCTGGTGTTTTTTTTTAAGTGCAAGAAAAGGTTGTAAATCATGGCTTTGTTCAATTTAGAGATGGGTACGAACCTCGGTTCAGAGGTTCGTGTCGCTTCATATGCGCAGCACCTGCGTTCTCTTCCCCCACCTCTCTGGCCAATGATGTGCTCAGCAGTCAGAGTGTGCTCCTCTTCTCCTCCAGCTGTTCAACTAGTCCCTGACAGGAGCATGGGTATGCCTGTCCTGCCTCCTTGTCTGAGTGGGCAGGGAAACTCCTGCTCCTGCTGGAGACTAGTTGAACAGCCAAAGATGAGGAGAGGAGCACGCTGGTGAGTGGGGGATCCAGCCAGGGAGGTGGGTGAAGAGAACATGCGTCACCTTTGATGCCGTGCATACAAACCAGCGCAAACCTACAAACCAAGGTTCATGTCCATCTCTAGTTCAGATACAATATCAAACCATGCTTAAGCATTCTGAGAATGAGCCACGAGTTTGCGTTTCATCTCCCCCAGTTGTTGCCATGCAAAGGACTTTGAAAGCTTCTGCCTCCATTTTAGATTAACTGCCGCTTATTGTGACATCCAAAACCAAAATAAATTATTTAGAAAACAACCCAGTTTTACATCAGAGCCAATGAAATTGTCTTGTTCCAACAAGCTGTGATTAGCATTAGTTTCCTTGGTTGGGACATTGTGACAAGCTATGGTTAATTGAAATGGAAGTGGAAGTTTCCATTTGCAGCACAGCTTTGCCTAAGCAAGAAAAGGAAACATACAAGTCCAATACTCACTAAAGTTTATTCTAAAACATTAGACCACTTTAGGGTGGTAGCTATGGCTTAAAGAAAACTTTTTATACTACTAAAACCCATCATTTTTAATAAGATGTTTTAAAAACACGCTCAGGTTATACACCTTGAAAATAAATTTTCTGTTTGCCTTCCTGCTGAGAGAACAAATCATGGTGATTTTATGATCAGAATTTTCAGGATTTATAATGAAATAATACTGAAAAGGTTTTCACTGTAGGTTTTGTAATTCATTTAAAGAATCACTACTCAAATTCAAAATGAACACCAGTAATTTAAAAAAAACACCCATTCCTTAAGAATGGATGCCAAACATCCTCGTTTCTTACACAACAGACAATCTAGGTCCAGCTTGCCTTAAGGAAACATTAGCACCTACTGGAAAGGACCTCGAGAAAAAAAAACGAAGCTTAGCAGGTTCAGCAATACTTGCTTTCCCTTCTGTTCCCACTTATTTCCTCTCCATTTACATCATGCCTATTAGATTCTGATTCTGCTGGCAGGGACTACAGTGGGGTCTCGACTTAAGAACTTAATCCGTATTGGAAGGTGGTTCTCAAGTCGAAAAGTTCTTAAGTCGAATCTGCATTTCCCATAGGAATGCATTGAAAACCATTTAATCCGTATCTGCTCTTTTCTGACCATAGACACTAATGGGAAGCTGCTATTCTGCCTTCTGCCACTAGAGGGGGATATTTTCTTTCTTTTTTTCCCCTTAGGTTCAGGGAAGGCAGGGAACACTAAAGGCAGCACTTTAGAACTCTTTTTTTTTTTTAAACGAAGCCAATTTTAAATAATGTTTTAAAGCATGTTGTGCTGATTTTTTCAGCACAAAGGCACTCAGGCAGGCTTTTTAGGTGCTGAGCAAGCCTCCGGAAGCCTGCTCAGAGCCAGCCGATCAGCTGTTAGGCGGGGAGAGGAGCGGGGAAAACTACAAAATGGCTGCCAGGCTCTTTCTGGGTGTCGGCTTTTAGCTCTTTCCTGCTCTTTTTCCTGTGGTTTGGGGGCTACCAAGGCCTGGTAAGTGACTTTATTTAACAGTACAGTATTTATTTTTAAGTTTCTGACCCTTTTCCCCCCTCCAGAAGCCTCTAAGGGGAGGGAGGGGGGACTTTTTTCCCTGTTCCTAACTCGAGGGAAGTTCGCATGTCGAGTCCTTACTTTCCCTATAGGGCAGGTTTGTAACTCGAATTGTTCGCAAGTCGGGTCGTCCGTAAGTCGAGACCCCACTGTATCTTATCTGTAAAGCATTTAAGCATTTAAACATTTCATAATGCTGAAATAAATAAATAACATTTAAACATTATACTTACGCTATTGGCTTTTCCAATCTGCTTCCTTGTGATCCAACAATCTCTCCAAGCGTACAGAACACTTGCCCCAAGAAATCCTGAAAAATTATTGTTATGTAAATTTGTAAAGCTTCAATAATTTTTTCAGGGATATACTGTAGTTCAGTCTTGCCATGACATCTGCATTTCCCCATTACTAACTTTTTCCATAATCAGAAATCTGTAAGAACGTTAAGATGTTGTATGATGTAAGATGTCTTACTCTATGGGTTCATGCTTCCCTCTCTTCCCCCACCCCTCAGGAACAGCTAAAAAAAAGAGATCAGAAATGTCTTCGTGGACCTAAGGCCCAAGCCATCTAAAAAATACATATAATAACAATAATCACAACCAGTCCACTTTGGGAGGGAAAGGACACAGTTTGATTGGTTACAGCAGCGGTTTAGTCTGGCCCAGCACTGGGAATCCATCCAGTGCCCTGAGAGATCTGAAAGCCCTCTGATGTCACCACTATGTATCAGGAGTTTGCAGAAAGTCACCACCAGAAGTGACATTACCTTGGAGACCATGTGGGCGTACAGTACATAACTTCATGGCTCCCTGGTACTTGGGGGCAGAGTCAGACCCTGATCTAGGACAGACCAAAGCCCCATCCTCAGCTCCCTTTAAGAGGATCCGTCCATACCAGAGGCAACAGGTTCCTGCCTGCTGCCCCCAAACCACCTGGATCTACGCCAATGCCTGAAAAAATGTGGTGCCAGAATGCAAAAAAAATGTGATGCCAGAATGCAGGAAAAGAAACAAGATACCTGCTACAACTACTATGCACCTGTTACAGGCTTCCCAAAGATCCCTGGTCTGTTTACCTCAAGGCAAACTTTTGCAGTGCCAAGGCCATACGGCGAGAGGCTGCTGGACCCAGCAGCTGGATTCCCATTATCGCCCTGCAGCTGCAGCCAGCAAAGAACACATGGCCACTGTCGTTTTATTTTGAGCCAGCTCTCCGTCCTAGACCACAGCTTCAGCCACAAGTGGGTGACCTGGTAAATCATTTCCAACAGCCTTTTTCTCTGTTCTTAAAGGTTCCCCTTGACATTTAGTCCAGTTGTGTCCGACTCTAGGGGCCGGTGTTCATTCCCGTTTACAAGCCATAGAGCCAGCAGTTGTCTGAAGACAGTTTCCGTGGTCATGTGGCCAGCGCCACTAGACACGGAACGCCGTTACCTTCCCACCGAGGTGGTACCTATTTATCTACTCATATTTTTACATGCTTTCAAACTACTAGGTTGGCAGGAGCTGGGACAAGCGACGGGAGATCACTCCGTCGCACGGATTTGATCTTACAACTGCTGGTCTTCTGACCTCGCAGCACAGAGGCTTCTGCAGTTTAACCTGCAGCGCCACCACGTCTAACCCGCTGCACCACCAGGTCTCTCTGTTCTTACTTCATAGTTTATAAATGCATTAGCATCAGTGGGGTGGGTTTGTGGCAGTGCTCAACCATGTGACTACTAGACCACTACTTTGCAGACTTGGTTTCTGTGGAATCCATTAGTAACAACATGATTGATCCTAATTTATGATTCCTGATACCACAGGATTGTATTAGGACACTCCAAGATTAAAATCAAGTAGCACTTACATGCTTTGATAGATCTGGACTCTTTGAATCAACATCATACCTAAAATGAATAGGAACAAATATCTGAATGTATTTAAACACACCAGTACAAAGGAACACTGAGAAAATTCTGTAGTTTTTGTTGCTACTGCTTTTATTTCAGGTAGAAGGTATAAAGAAACAGAGAGAAGGTAGCACTCCTGTCTAGAACACATGCATTCAAATCTAGGTTCAGCCTTGATGTGGCAACTGAGCTACAGTTCCCCAGATATCTGAATTAAAAAACAAGTAAACTCATTGATACAAAGGAAATAGCTAGAAACATAGACAACACAAGCAACAGTAAATTCAAAGTGAGACGAATGTAACGGGCAAGATGTCAAATTTATTCCCTGAATCTAGGACAGGAAATAATCTGGAATACCAGAATCCCCTAGCCAGCATGGAGTTTATACACCAAGAAAGTAACTTTTTCTGGGCTCTACACATACTGTAATGTTGCCATGCCAACTCCCTTGTAGCAAAAGCTACAGATTCAACAGCACTTTAAATATTAAAATGTATTAAGATACTATGGGTTTGGATCCACCTCTGCAGTTATTTTTGTTTTGTTGCCCACTGCTGCCCCATTTACTCCCACAACATCCATGTTTTCTATATTTGCAGATAGCCCTGTGAAAGAAGCTTAATTAGTCTACCAAAAGGAAAAAAAAAGGAAAAAAGTGGCAGAATGAGACTTTATCAAACCGCAAAATTCATCAGGAATTGAGAGGGGATATTTTAAGCTTCAATAAGCTGTCAATGGTTTCACTCACAAGCAGAAAAGACAGAAATGCTCCTTCCTTAGGCAATAATTGAGCAAAACAGAGATTCCATACTTTGCCTTACGACTCCAGTTCTGTGATGGCTAGATGCTTATTTTTAAAAAAAGAAAAGAAAAAGAAAGGAGGCCAGGAACTCTGGCCAGGGACACCAAGCAGCATGACTAAAATCCAGGCAAAATATATCTGCAAGCTAATATGATAGCCGAATCAGATTATGGGTAGCAGTTACTCCTTGGGTGAAGCACATATGGATTTATTTTGCAGGTGGCATTATATCTGCCCTGTTCTGTTTAATCTTTTTTTCTGGTTTGTGCTTATTCCTTTAATGCCCTATCCTAGTAAATTTGTGGGTACTGCTTTGCCTCTGGAAAGGACAAATATAATTCACATTTATATTAATCTGAGAATACAGAATCAAATACAGGTATCAAAGGGTTTGGAGCAGAATTTCCTTACAAGGTATCTACTGCAGCCAAAACCGTAACTGAAATTGAACACAAAATTTTAAAAAATCAATTTTGAATTCTAATTATAGCTTATGCCACAATCCTATATACAGTATTCTTATGCAGGAATACTGAATGGAGCGGGCTTACATTTAAGTAGACAGTCACGGTATTTCACAGTTAAATCAATATTATAATACAACAAATGATCTTACTGATGACTATGGCCCTCACTCAATTTGAGCTGAACCTGTTTGTGGCCTTTACCACGTGGTCCCTCTGCTTGTTTCACCAAACAAAGAGCTCCCGCTATGTCATCCCACCAGCTGACATCAATGGGCTCAATTTGAGTGGTCCCTCTGCTTGTTTCACCAAACAAAGCGCTCGCGCTATGTCATCCCACCAGCTGACATCCATGGTCTCAATTTGAACTGAACCTGTTGAATTGGAACCTCATTTGAGTTGCATTCAGAACCATTCTGTGAATTGCCTGGGAACATATTTTAATGTTGCACTGTGATACAACCATTATAGTGTCAAAACATTTTCAAATCTCAGTTCATTAACTCTAATAGATCACTACTCTCTCATTATGCTATCAAAACTTAAAGTATGAGAATAAACTTACAGGTCAAATCGCAGGTTCTGCCTCTCTTCAAAGAAGTAATCCATTATAAATTTTCTTACAAAATCTGGATTCAAAGTATTGTCGATTACTTCTGTTCTCCCAAACTATAGAAGAAATTTATTTTACACAAATCGTATCAATAAAAGATACATATAATATGTACAGTATGTACATATATACTTGGGCAAAGATTGAGATATAAAGACAAATAGTGAATAGTATATAAGCTTATAAGCAGGAAGAATCAATCAAACGGAGAAAAAAATGCTTACCAGAAAATCTTCTCAGACACTGACTGAACTGTTGATTAGCTTAGAAAGTCACACTACAGAAGGCCCACTAAATAAATGATAATCTGATGAGTCTATTTCTCCATAAATTCAATTGATTCAAACTGGCCCACTAAATTACAACCAGGATACGCCCACTTGAATCAACTGGAATTACAGAGGGGTTGGGCCTCCTCTAATGTGAGTTACTATGCTAAGCAAAGTCATTATCTTTTTAACATACAGGCTGTTTTTGTTTCAATTTTTAAAAAACACATGGGCTCAGAAATGCATGCAATTAAAATAATGAAACACAAATATAATCAATAATGCTACAACTTTTAGTAGTACTGGAGGCTAAACACAATAGCCAGAATCTAAGCAAAATCCAGAATAAAAATTGCAACTCATTAACTAGCAGAAATTTGCCAGCATGATATATACCACTGCTCTTACACTGGTGTAAACAGTCAACAGGATTCAGCCCAATATTGAAGAGATTAGATAAAAGTTGAAGAAAATCACTAATCAATATGAAAAATTTTCATCTACAGTATTTAGTAAAACATTCATTGATAATAGTATTAATAATGAGGAGCATGCATGGAGGTTTTAAACTATCAGATCTATTCTCTGTAAATCTGGCAAAATTATTAATGTGGTATAAAATGTTTAGTGCCACTTGCCATTATTATTATTTTAAATAACCCACTATGTCTATCAGAAACCTTTACTTTTTAAAGGGAAATTAAATGTATCCAGTGTTTTAAAACTGTAGTCTGGAGTCTCTCAGAGGCCACCCAAAGCTCTGATATTAAGGCACATTCATGAAATATTTTTAGAGGATTTGAGATAAAAAGATTTAAAAGAAAACTTCTGTCAATAATAATACTGTATTAGTCGTTGGAGACTGTACTGCCGAAGAAGTGGGAAAACACTGACTGCTTCCATATGAGAGACACCTCGTCAACTTCAAATGGTGAGTTATGATGTTGACTTTTTAACAGGAAAAAATCGATCATTTTTTGAAAATCAATTTAATTTAAATTATTTAAATTTTAAAAACCATTTTTTTAAATTTAAATCATCAAAAAATCCAAACTTTTGAATTTTAAGTCATGATTTAAATCAATTTAAATTTAAATCATGATTTTAAATCAAATTCACCCTGCTTGTTAAATTAAACAAAATGTGTTACAAACCATGGTTCCCTGGTCCAGAGAACACAAATTCAGCAAAAGAGAACCTAAATGCTGCCAAAGTCCAAAGTCAAGGTCAATCTAGGTAGTATATTCAGCATGTTTTTTTCAACTGATGAAAGATGTCTGTATGTTATTTTCTTTGCATATGAATTAAAAATTACAGGTCAGCAATCTTCCATTCTATTACATTTCAAAACCAAATCATGAGACCAGTGGTCTGGCCATCATAATGGCATATGAGTCAGGCCCTTTTGTAACAATGGCAAAATGATGTATGTGAAAGACAGACAACGTGAACTTCCTGCACAATCTTTGGAACCTAAAACTTAGTGCACACAACACAAAACATCTTCACTTTTAGCCCAGGAGTCTGTTGTCATTTGGAGTGGATGGGAGATGGGTGTCCAGGCTACATACACAGTAATCAGAGTTTCCTTCCTTCTAACGCTGCTTGTCCTGTGATTATCTTGCCTCCTAAATACCCAAAGAAGCATGACATTCTCAGATCTAGCAACCTTGTGTGCTTTGTTTTGTAGTTGGTCATTGGTAGGCAGACATAGGTAAATAAAAGGAAATAAGCATTGCACTTTATGCCTAGCTTGCTTGCTAGTCTTATTCTGGCTTACGATCATTGTTCAGCATGAAGGATAATTACAGTGCGTATAACTTTCATAAAGTGAAGTCCTAAGTATCTATAAAACAATTGCACCACTTTTAAAAACTGAAACTAATCTAGAATGTTTTTTTCTTCTGCTGTTACTAATAAACAATTGATACATACATGTATTTGCAACAAAAACTTACCTCTCTCCATTCTTTATTTCCCATAGCTTGTGTGTACAAAACACAGACTGTGAAGAGAATCAAGGAAAAGCCAATCATTTCAAAGTTTTTGTATTTTAACACATCTATTACAAGCTAACACACACTCTATCCTCTAAAAATGTTAGCCAGGGACATGCAAATATTATAAGCCAATTTAGGAGATACTGAACTAAAATTGGCTTTTGGGGGCTTAGGAATATTACAGGTTATTAAAAAATATTGTTAAAATACAAGTTTAACATGAGAATAAGGACCATGTCATCTTCAGAAATGAGAGACGCTTATTAAGCTATCATCTAGTGCCTTTCAATGGGAGAATCCTAAACTTTCATCCATTCGCAATTCAAAAGGAAAATATTTTACTGTATTGTGAGAAGAGAAAGAAACAACAAAACATAGTAATAAGCCATGGTATGTGCTAACCACAATTTGTTATTTAAGCCACAAACTTTACAACAGACAAACAAAAATGGTTTAGCTTCTTTTCCTCGTATCAGATTTTTTTTCAGGGTTATTTGGCTATAAATCCTTTTATCATCAACTGCTTCACAGCCAGGGAAATAAACTATGGAAAAGCCAAGGTTTGGGTTCAGATGTTAAGACAAACCATTATTTAAACAAAGCAGAATTTACAAACCATCCACAATCCCAAAGCTTCTAAATATAATCTGTGAGTGTTTAACAAACACTAGTTAGCAGAAGTGGCTTAATACATTACAACAAAGCACACTATGGCTTATCATGACATGTGAATGTAGTAATTATGCCAAAAGCTTTATCTCATCATCTCATTAAGATGCAGAAGCATCAAAAGCATGTAATACTCACTTGGATCAGATTTTGAAAAAGTGTCTCTGTCCAAAAGGTTCCTGATAATAAAAGAAAAAAATGGCTAAGTATCTCAATCAAAAAATAATCATATAATATTACTTAAAATATATTATTATTTTATTTATGTACCTTACTTTTTAACATTGTCCTTCATTTCACAGTAACAGGGCATTCAACAAAAGTAATTATCTGCTTCTACTACCTGGGAGGGACGTGGTGGTGGGTTAAACCACAGAAGCCTCTGTGCTGCAAGGTCAGAAGACCAGTAGTCGTAAGATTGAATCCACGCAACAGAGTGAGCTTCTGTCGCTTGTCCCAGCTCCTGCCAACCTAGCAGTTCGAAAGCATGTAAATGCTTCCCCTCGGTGGGAAGATCACAGCATTCCGTGTCTAGTTACACTGGCCACGTGACCACGGACACTATCTTTGGTCAAGCGCTGGCTCTACGGCTTGGAAACGTGGATGAACACCGCGCCCCAGAGTCGGACACAACCGGACTAAATGTCAAGGGGAACCTTTACCACCATGTAAATCCACAGTGGAAGTACTACCCCATCTAAGACAGACTATACACCCAATATCCATCAGTGAATAGCATTTATCACATTCTTTATCTTGTCATCCTCAGTGTATTGGTACTCACCTAGCCCTTATCAAATTAAGCAAATCTACTTTAAAACAAGCACCTTCTCTAATAAACATCATTTTGGTTGGGATAGATGGGATGGCTCACATTTTTAAAGATCCACTTAAGCTTAAAAGCTTACTACAGACAGAAAGCTAGCACAATGGGCTGAACTGGAATCTTTATACAGTATTTGCCATGCTACTTTGTGTGCGTGTATTTTGTTTGGTTTATTTTTATATGGGGATTTTCCAAAAGTGATACCAAAACCTACATTTTAAAGTGGCACAAATTACTGCCTTAGAATTCCACTACTGTACTTCATTCTGCAGTAACTACAGTATCAGCATTAGAAAGATTGTAATTAACAGCTAGTTATTCACTAGTACAGTATTGACTCATTTGGTGCAAAATTTGCTTTTAAACATACTTTAAAAATTGTACATAAATGTGCCATTTTCAACATTCCTTTCAAAACCTACCAAAGTGGTAAATAAATATGTAGAATAAACATACCAGACACTGTTTTATAGGTTTCTATTTAACAGTCTATTTCCACATTCAATAAATTATTGTATAATTTATGAAGTATATCCACATAATTGCTGATTTTTATTACAGACAGCATTAAAACAGTCTGTTGCTACTCATTTAACTAGCAAGTGAAATTCACTACTGCAAAAGCACCTATCACTTATTGAGTAAATACCTTTAGGATTGGGCTTCGTGTGTACATTGTATTTTTTCATGCGTCTAGAACTCATTTTTGGTCCTCTGTTAGTTCAATCTTTTCCAAAGAAGTATTTCTTATGAGTTTGTGCCAGAATCCTACTGATGTTTGTGCAAGGTTTGCATAACTTGACATAGCTAATTGATGTGGCATGAGGGTGCATCCCGGTTATATGCCCTGTCAAATGCCTGCTTGAGCAACAGAGACACACCTCAGCACCTTGGCAAATAGCCATGGCAATTTAACCCAGATCTCATGCAACCACAAAAAGATGCCAGCCATTTTAACATATTTATTTCACTTTTATCCCATCCTTCTTCTAAAGAGCATACAGCAGATTTCATGGTTCTCTCTTCTCTCAGTTTTAATTTTACAACAACCCTGTGACATAGATTACAAGACAGTGACTGGCTAAAATTCAACGATTTCATGCTACTAGCAATCTGTGCCAGAGTTTCTCAGCTCCAAGACTAACATCTTAAGGCTATATCATATTACCTCATGGGGAGATCAGAACTGAACAATGAATCAGGATTAGGCTCATTTCTATTGCATTTTTTTCTATTTTAGTTGAACCATTACGGGATGCTATAATATTTCCTGTATTATTTTCCTATTCTTGCCCACACTGGGTAAGCAAGACCTCAAACACACCACCCAACTCCGACACGATGCTAAATTCTACAACTCTTTTTAATTCTAGTATTGTCTGCTGCCTTGTGCACATAATGTACTGCTTTCAGTAAATCATCCATAGCACAATAGTGTTCAATTAATATAAATGAAGAAGAATTCTGGTTTTATTTTAATTTCTGCTATTTTACCATTTTCTTACTAAATGCCACCCTGAAAATTTGTACTGAAATAACAGTAAACCTATACTCCATTAAAAAATTATTTAAAATATTTTTAGCCCACCTTTCTCCTTAGAAATCAAGACAACGTATTGTAAAAGACAATATTTAATGCTAAAAACTTTTTTCAAAAGTATAAAAACTCAAACATTCCCTTTTATTATGTACAATTTATCCCCAATGCTGTTCAGCATCTATGTGAAGCTATTGGGGAAGGTCATCAGGAGATCTGCAGTGTGGTGTCATCAGTACAGTGGAGTCTTGACTTACGTACAGCTCCACATACGAACTTTTTGTCCTACGGACTTCTCCAGCCGCAAAGTTTCACTTTGACTTGCAGCACCCAAACATTCCCTTTTATTATGTACAATTTATCCCCAATGCTGTTCAGCATCTATGTGAAGCTATTGGGGAAGGTCATCAGGAGATCTGCAGTGTGGTGTCATCAGTACAGTGGAGTCTTGACTTACGTACAGCTCCACATACGAACTTTTTGTCCTACGGACTTCTCCAGCCGCAAAGTTTCACTTTGACTTGCAGCAGCAGAATCGACCTACGGACCAGAAGAGGGAGGCGGGAAACGTGCCCAATTCAAATTTGGCACTTTCCCCGCCTCCCCCTTCCAGACCATAGGCCATGCCTCCAGATGCCTTCCAGGGCTTATCCACCGCCATGGGAGGCATCTTGGAGGCCCCTCCCACCACCGATAGTGCTTCGGAGCCACTATCGGCGGTGGGGGGGGGACCTCCGAGATGCCTCCCATGGCAGCAGAGAAGCCCTGCAAGGCATGAGGAAGCCCCCTGCCGCCGCCGCTGCTGCTGGGAGCCGAGCTGCGCTGGGCGATCCCAGCCATGCTCGGACTCCTGGACCGTCCAGGAGTCCG